TCTGTTGCCGCCAGCTTGTTCTTGTGGGATTCTCAGAGGCATCTGAATGGTTGTTGTGTGGAGAAGAGTGATTTTATTTATTTTTGTCTCGCTGCATACAAATTGAGCTCCGTGAGCTCCACTTCTCCCCACAAGCGCAGGCTCAGTAGGAAGAGGTTCCAGAAAACAGGGACTGTCCCTCGCAAATGGGGACGGTTGCAGCATACGCCACAGGCATTTTGACAAAGGACGCTTGTATCGGTTTTGACACTTCCTCCTGAACCTATGTGTTGCGCGAGGACAGCATTGCTGACCTGCAGCTGCACTCCATTTTAAAAATAAAAAAACCGAATGGCTGTCTGCCAGGGCATTTCACCTGCAAAACTGGCTTCTGAACAGAGTTCCAGGGAGCCGTGAGCTGGGGACCTTACCAGAGTTTAGAAACAGCCCTACATTTTAGTGCCTCAGGCAGTAGAAACAGAATCTCCCCGATGTTAGCAAGAGCACCGTCTCTTATGCATTGCCAACGCCGGTAAAAGAGGACGTAGATTTGCTTCAAATCTGCACGTGCACATATACAAAGGCACACAGGCTGCATACCCTCTGTACATTTAAAGCAAATAATAATGTTTATACCCCACCCATCTGACTGGGTTTCCCATTTAGTGGGATGTCCCCCAAAATAATCCTGGAAGCTGTAGTTTACCCCCCACAGAGCTACAATTCCCAGCACCCTTAACAAACTACAAGTTTCCAGGATTCTTTAAATTTATGGTGTATCTACATTGCTGGGACCGGCTGAAGGCTGCGTGGAAAAGCTGCTGCTGTGCTACCACGTGCGTCAGCTGTTAGGTGGGGAGGCTGAGCATCCTAAACAAAGCCTCCGGTCTCTTTGGGGCTTCCTCCACCCACACCAAAGTCCTCTTTGGGCTCCAGGGAGCAGGGCTGTCTTAAGCATATCCGGTGCCGTGGTGCAAATATCTCTCCGGCGCCTCCCCCTTTCCCAGAGTTGTCAACCTTTTTTAAGGGGGGGGGGACTTTGGTCCGGCTCGTTTACATCGCGCGGTCCAATGCGTGCTCAGTGCTGCACGTAAGTAAGAGGCACCCGGATCACAACCCAGATGGCCTCCCGCGAAGCCTCCCTCTAAACGCCTGGTGCCCCTTACCTGCCCCCATCCAGGGAAGTCTGTGCCACAGGAGGGCCAGCAAGCAGATCAGGTGGCTTGCTGGCAGTGTCATCCTGGCTCAGCGCCAGGATTGCACAGGGCTCTTCCCTGCTCTGTTCGCAGACTCCGCAGGGAGGCGTGCAGGCAGCGACATGGTCAGAGGGGGCACCCCGCGCCTGCCCCCAATCTCGCCCATCAGGCACCCAGGCAGCCCCAGTGGTAGGGGACGCGAAGTGGAGAGAGGAGAGGAGCGGGCTGCCCCAGAGCGGGGAAGGGAGTACACCCTGACCCTCCTTCCCGGACACTCAGCCTGTGGCGCCCTCCGAAATCTGGCATCCTGGTGCCCCGCGCCACTAACGTCTATGGGTAAGACGCCCCTGCTGGGATCTCCTCGCAAGCCACAAGTACTCTATTTAGAATCTATTTATTTATCTCCCAGCGCCACACATATATGTGCTCGCACACGGGTCAATCGCCCGTAAGGGGTGTGTGTGGGTGCCTGTAGTTTGAAAAGCAAGATCCTCTTGTGTCTTAAAGAAAGTAAGAAGACATGCAGTTGGTGGCCTCCACTGCTTCTTGTGGCAGCAAACGCCACATGTCTAATGATGCACAATGTGAAGAAACACTTCCTTTTGCATTCTCCCGAATCTTCTAAAGTTCAGCTATATTGGGTGACCTTGGACTCTAGAGATAGAAAGGATGGAGGAAGAAGAAAATGTCTCAATCACTTTCCCCAACGCGTACATAATTTTAGATACCTCTGTCTTATTCCCCCTTAGTCACCTTCTTCTGTGCTAAGAAGCCCCAAGTGTGTAACCTTTTCTCACAAGGGAGAAGTTCCATCCAATCCTTTGAAAATTTCATTCCCTAATCATTGCCTATTTATCAATCAACCAGTCTGTCTGTCTGTCTGTCTGTCTGTCTGTCTGTCTGTCTGTCTATCTCCTTTCAAGGCCCCTAAAATGGAATTTGCCCTTTTCACAGCCACTCGCCATGGGTTGAGTTGACATTTCCATCGAGCTATCTACCATTACCCCACAATCTTTCTTCGGGTCAGTTACGGCTATGTCAGATGCCATTCATGTGTATGTGAAGTTAGTTTTTTCCCCCTGAATGTGAAACACTTCCTCCATCTTTACATTGAACTGCATTTGCCATTTGATTGCCTGTTCACTCAGTTTCACCACTCTGAGCAATATGGTGTCACCACCTCCCTGCTCACCCCTAACTCTCCGCAGGACAGTTCTCTATTTGACAGGCTATCTAGATACAGTGGTACCTCTGGATGCGAATGGGATCCGTTCCAGAGCCCCGTTTGCATCCTGAAGTGAATGCAACTCGCGTCCGCGTGTCGCGATTCGCCGCTTCTGCGCATGCGCATTACGTCATTTGGAGTGTCTGCTCATGCGCGAGCGGCAAAACCTGGAAGTAATGCACTCCGTTACTTCTGGGTTGCCGCAGAGCGCAACCCGAAAATACTTAACCTGAAACTACTTCAACCCGAGGTATGACTGTATGTTCGCTTTAAAGATGAAAGATAAATAAGGGAGAGCAGGGGTCTTGAAGTTGCTGCTCTCAGTCTCCTTCCACCCACATCAAGTATGAAAGTTTTCCTATTTCTCCTTCTCCTTCTCCTTCTCCTTCTGTTGTTAAATTTGTATACTGGCCTATACCAGCAGGTCTCAGGGCAGTTACAACATAAAATTGCAAAAAAAAATACATAATAAAATAAAAAACAACCCAATTGAAATATACTCAGAGTTGTGTAGTGATTTCATGCTTTTTATTACAGCTCGTAAAACAGTGGATGAATTTCCCCCCAAACCTCAGGCTTTATATACATTATTTACACAATGGGTCCCGTCTGATTGGCTGGTTCTGCTTCCCTCCTGGAACCTGATTGGGCTGCTCCTGAAGGCTAATCTGTTGTTGCATTCTAGGATCCTACCTGTCTATTTTCCTAGGATCCAAGCTTAGTACATAACACCAATAATCCCCCTCACCTCAATATATTTTAAAAGGGCATTGGATGTCAATCAACCAAAGGCCTGGTTAAAGAGGAACATTGTTGCCTGGTGCCTAAAGATGTATAATGATGCCACCAGGCGAACCTCCCTAGAGAGAGCATTCCACAGACAGGGAGCCACTGCAGAGAAGGCCCGTTCTCATGTTGCCACTCTCTGGACCTCTCGAGGAGGAGGCACACAAAGGAGGGCCTCAGAAGATGATCTCAGGGTCCAGGTAGATTTATATGGAAAGAGGTGGTCCTGATCCCTAAAATGAGGGTGATAAAAAATGGGAGCATGAAGGAGCATCTCCACCCCCATCGTTCAACCCGGACACTGAGGTCCAGCTCCGAGGGCCTTCTGGCAGTTCCCTCACTGTGAGAAGTGAAGTTACAGGGAACCAGACAGAGGGCCTTCTGTGGAACGTCCTCCCATCAGATGTCAAAGAAATAAACAACTATCTGACGTTTAGAAGACATCTGAAGGCAGCTCTGTTTAGGGAAGTTTTTAATGACTGAGGTTTTAATGTATTTTTATTCTTTTGTTGGAAGCCGCCCAGAGTGGCTGGGGAAACCCAGCCAGATGGGCGGGGGTATAAATATATTGTTGTTGTTGTTGTTGTTGTTGTTGTTGTTGTTGTTGTTGTTGTTGTTATTCCCGCTGTTTCCATTCATTCAACATTTAAAATGCAGTTACTAGTTCTGTGTAAAGTTTGTGCTTTTAAAACACAGAATTTGTTTCTATGTGGAGTGTCCCTTTCCTGTCTCCACTCACTGAAATCATTGAAACAGAGCACGGCTCCAACAGAAAAGGTGTGTGTGTGTGTGTCGCCATTTTGAATTTCTGCTTCAGGCCCAAGAAACGCCTCAAGCCCTGACACTGTGGAAAAACAAACAAGGAAAGAAACCCCTTCTATACATAGTGCTGGAAACAAAACAGAGATCTGTAAATAGCAACTATCCACATAAAACTGCATGAAAATGTAAGTGACGTTAAGATTTAAGATTAGAAGTCGAGTACCCCTTCTTTACAAGGCGTTCAGCCAGACTGACCTGACAACTGTTTGCACAGAGGCAAGTCCTACTGTGTTCTGCTATGGTTGCAATCCTGGTCACACTCATTTGAAAGCACTGTTCCATTGAGTGCACCTGGAATTCATTTCCACACAAGCTTTCATTGCGTCAGGTTGTTAACCGTCACTTTTTATAGAACCCCATCAGTTTTCTTGGCATTTTGCAGAGTTCAAAGGAGGCGGTCTCTGTATGCCAAGGGCTTTGCCAGTCTAAAATTGGACACAACCAAGGAAGAGGAGAAAGAGTTGGGCAGGGATTAAAAGAGGAACAAATACAGTCGTACCTCTGGTTAAGTACTTAATTCGTTCCGGAGATCTGTTCTTAACCTGAAACTGTTCTTAACCTGAAGCACCACTTTAGCTAATGGGGCCTCCCGCTGCCACCGCGCCGCCGGAGCACGATTTCTGTTCTCATCCTGAAGCAAAGTACTTAACCCGAGGTACTATTTCTGGGTTAGCGGAGTCTGTAACCTGAAGCGTATGTAACCCGAGATACCACTGTATGCATATATTTTTTTGCACATAAAGGCTACCACTCAAGAGAGACAAAACAAAACTAGAGCAATGGCAGAAGAAAATGTCTGGGTGAGAGCATTTAGCTAATCATAGATCACAGAGTTGGAAGGGACCCTGAGGATCATCTTCTAGTCCAAACTTGGGTCTCCAGCTATTTTTGGACTACAATTCCCATCATCTCTGACCACTGGTCCTGCTAGCTAGGGATGATGGGAGTTGTAGTCCAACAGCAGCTGGAAACATATACCCAGGAATATGTTGCTGATCCATACAGGGATCAAACTTGAAGCCTTGGCATTATCAGCACCACACTCTAACCAACTGAGCTATCCAGGTTGACTTACGGAAACATAAGAAGAGCCTACTGCCTTAGACCAATGGCCTGTCTAGTCCAGAATCCTGTTCTCGCAGAGAAAACTGCAAGAGCACTTTCTCCTCCCATGGCTTCCATGGGAGCTTAGCTGCCTCTGACCATGGAGTCAAAGCACAGCCACCGTGACCAGTAACCCTGGATAGCCTCATCCCCCTATGAATTTGCCCTATCCTATTTCAACAATTGAAATGGAGGCTTGAGGCCAGGTTACTTACAGATACGTAGGAAATGAAATGGTTAAATCGCTTAGCTAGAAGGAAACTGCAAGCTAAGGAACAAGGCCAGTGTTGACCCAGATGAAAAGGGAGTGAGGGGCGCTGTGCAGGAGATAAGCAACATCAGGAGACTGGGAAAAGAACAAAGGCATGATGCAGAGGCTTCAAATAAGGGCAGATTAAGCACCAAGGAACAGCTGACTGTGTAGTAAATAGGTAGCAAAGGAATTAAATGTGCGTATCAAGATTTGGGGCTCAGAAGGCGTACTAACCGTTATGAGAGCCATTTAAAGTCTCAAAAGGGTCCTCCCTCTGCATTCCAAACTAGACCCATCACCTGTAGCAGGAGTCAACCTGGCTACAAATTAACTGGTCTTAGGTAAGGGGGAGACCTGGATAACTTTTCCATTTCTTTTCTTTCCCACTGATTGAACTGTCCTTTCCTGTTATCTATGGGATAGCCACAAGAATCTCCTTTGATGACTGGAACTGCCTGATGCCGGACACCTTTGCCCTCCCTGTCTGTCCCCAAGATTTTAAGGGATGGAAGAAATCAGGACTCCTAGTGATTTCTGGTGGTGGAGAGAACCTAGCCGGCATTGACCGTTGATTTAATATTGAGCGCCTTGATTTATAGGGCTCCCAAGGGAAGGACCCCAGCCAACCATTAAACGTCAAATGCTGGACAGTCATGACTCATAGGTTCATCTGGAGGAGCGGTTCTCAAAGGGTGTGACGTGGCATAAGTGTGTTGGGAAGATTCAACAACAATCAAAGAAATATTTAAACATTTCAGGGCAGTATAGAATCATATATATATATATATATATATATATATATATATATATATATTAGTGCAGAATATGGATAGATATCTTTTCAAAACGAGAGCAAGAGCATCAGGTGATATCCAGGACAAGCCTGGCTGTGTTTTCCAATGTATGTCTTATCAATTAAAAAATTGGTGTGGCATGAGCAGATTTTTATTCCGAAAGTGTGGCTCAGACAAAAAAGTTTTTCCGAAGCTCTGGGGAAACAGCTGGGCAGCTGCAGTTCCCCCCACCTCAAAAATATGCTCTGCTACCTTCTCCAGAATATCATCTGGCTGCTTTTAAACTCATCCATTATATGGCTTTGAATCATCTCCTCCTGGAGACAAGCCATCACAGACCTCAAATATCCCCAACAGATGCCTGGCCAACTCCACCCCTCCCACCTCACCCTCTAGATTCCTCAACCTTTGTAAGTAGCTTGTTTCATGGGTGACTAACATTTAATCTAAATCCGCTTCCCTGCTACTTACAAACCAATGTATCCTTGCCTCTCCACTATGAACAGTATGAACAATTGTTTCCTTGTTGAAATATATTTAAGTACCGAATAACCAAAGGCACTTTTATCCCTCTCGCATTCAGCCAACGCATCCTTTAATCTTCTTTGTAACTCCTCTCTGAGTCCTTCCCAAATTCAACATCCTGTTTGAATTTGTGGTCTCTTAGCTCACACTCCTTAGTACTCTTTCTCCAGCTGCTCAGTGGGTGGGAATTATGCCTCGGTGCTAATCAATGGAAGGCACCAGATACGTTCATGCATTTCAGTGAATGAACACAAGCAAATATACCTGTATCCAAAATTGGACTAAAATATCTACTCTGTTGCAGGTGCATGAATCTTATCTTCTTTCAGCTCAACGATCCGTTCTGGGTTACTTACTTTCCTGAATTTGCCTTCCAGTGTTCACTTTTTCAGATGTAGCCTTTTAAAAAATGTTGCTTCTGTGTATAGCTAAACGTCACCTTCAGGTTTCAGCTATTCCCCAGCCCCAGGCCATCCAGGGTTTAAGGATGTGTACAAGTTACTGGCTTAAAACATAGCTAAAGGTAAAGGGACCCCTGACCATTAGGTCCAGTCGTGACCGACTCTGGGGTTGGGGCGCTCATCTTGCTTTATTGGCCGAGGGAGCCGGCGTACAGCTTCCGGGTCATGTGGTCAGCATGACTAAGCCGCTTCTGGTGAACCAGAGCAGTGCACGGAAACACCGTTTACCTTCCCGCCAGAGCGATACCTATTTATCTACTTGCACTTTGACGTGCTTTCGAACTGCTAGGTTGGCAGGAGCTTGGACCGAGCAACGGGAGCTCACCCTGTCGTGGGGATTTTTACCACTGACCTTCTGATCGGCAAGTCCTAGGCTCTGTGGTTTAACCCACAGCGCCACCCGCATCCCTAAAACATAGCTGGGCCATTCTTTTTCTCATCCTGGGTTGAAGCTGATTTGCAGGGAACTGCACCAGAACACAGGATTTCATGAGAAACAACAGGATAGATACAGAGTAGTTATGGATTCCTATGACGAAAGTTTGGAGCATTTGGGGCTTTTGGTTTTGTGGAAAGGTAGGAAGAGGTGACACGACAGAACATTTATGCATGGCAAGGAGAAAGTGGATGGAGAAAGGTTCTTCTCCCCCTCTCATAACACTAGAAGTCATGGAGCTCCAATGAGGCTGAATGCTGGAAGATTCAACAGAGATAAAAGAACTTCTTCACACTGTGCATTGTTAAACTATGGAACTCATTGCCACAGAAGGCAGTGACTGCCACATACTTAGATGGCTTTAAATTAACGCATTCATGGAAGAGAAGGCTATCAGCTATGTTGGCTATGCGCTGTCTCCGCAGCCAGATGCAATAATGCTTCTGAATACCACTTGCTGGAAAACACAGGAGGGGAAAGTGTTCTTGTGTTCTGCTTGGGGATCTCCCACAGTCTTCTGGGTTGCCTCCGTGGCAGCAGGATGCTGGACAAGGTGAGCCATTGGCCTGATCCAGCAGACTCTTCTGATGTTCTCAAGGCTAATGTTGTGTGTGGAGGGCACAAACTGGGTGCAGAGTAAATAGGGCTGTGAAGTCCGCTCCACTTCCTGGTGGGGAGGGATTGCGGTAGACCACGTGGCCATCCCCTCTTCTCCGGGGGCGGGGGACAAAGTCCCGTGTTGTCCGGGGGATCCCGGCCACATCATTGCCAGCCAGCCAATCCGGTGGCTGGGGGGAGTGGCCAGGACCGTTTAAGAGCTGGAGGGCTTCCTCTTGGCTCGCATCTTCAAACTCCCTCCCTATTTTACAGGTTTCTTTTTCATTGGTCTTGCTATGGATCTCGGTTGGTCACCATTGAGGGGCCTGGTAGGAATTTTTCCACTTGGCAAATTGGCATGGGCCATTTGGTTTTCGCCTACCTTGTAGCAATTGCCACAACTTTGTAAGGTTTTGCTGTTAGGCATTGGTTGACCTTATGATGGTGGAGGGGAGGTGTGGCCATCACCTGCCCCTCCAAGCTTAAGGGTATTCCGTTAAAGGAATCTGGGGGTGTGCATCTTGTCCGAAGCCTTTGGCAGGGCTAGGGCCATGACACTCCGCCGTGGGGAACCCAGGGGGAGCTCGAGTTGGTCTGCATCGACGGGGCTCCCCCTACCGGTGGTTTACCCTTGCCGGACTTCCTGCGCAACGGGCAGGAGTCAGATACAGTCGGGTCCATTCAATGCCTAAGCCAATACCGCTCACAGTCTGTAATCAATAAAGTTGTGGCCAAAATTTGCCCAATAACATTAATATAATATCTGTGTCCTGGTGTCTTATTCTTTACGAGGGGGTGGTTGCAGTGTCTTGACACGCAACAAAGCCCAAATCGCCAAGGCTACACTCCTAGAGTATATGTTCTTCCATGCTTAGCATCTCCCACTGATCTGCAGACAAATCTGCAGCTACTCTCCTCTGCAACTGAGCCATGACCCTGCCCAAAGACAGGGAAGTAATTCCAGGTATGCAAATATAATTGCCTTACATGTGCGTCTCTGTTACTAATCTGTGATATGGGAAAGGATACGTTTTGCATCACATTCCTCACCTTTTGCTCCTCCCAGCCCCCTCCACCCAGGCAGGATTCCTGTGTCTTTTAACAAGCAGGAGTTCACCCGGTGAAGCCTATCCTGCACTTATGTGATAGGCAAAGCTGCACCCGCTGAATTTCCACCTAGGGCTCAAGTATAAAGCATGCAGCTGGGACCCCTGCTCCTGCTGGAAGAAACAGCAATGGGCTTAGCCACTGTTTGTGCCCCCTCTCCATAACTGAATGAGGTGGTGGTGGTGGGGAGGAGACTGTGCCTGCTGGCGACATTCAGAAATTATACCTGGCAATTGAGAACCGGTGAGTCAACGCTAGAAGCAGCCCCATTCCTGTGGTTTCGGGAATTTCCGTTAACTCCATTTCTTAAATCCTGCATCTTTCTCGAATGAGTGTATTGCTCAATCCCCTTCCCGCTTCCAAACAGATTGAGAAATCTGCTTGGAAATAACCTTTCCCAGTCTTGGAGGACCCTTCAGGTTTGCTGCCTGCCCCATGGAGGTTGCGGGGAGTGGATCAGAGCACTGGGCAGGGCCTTGAAGCCAACTAAACCAGTGAGAGTGGTAGGTAATATCTGGCTAGATGGACGTATGAGCTTGTATATCAAGCAGCTTCCAATGTTCCACTTGGCTCTAATCCTCTCCGGGTCTCTCTCTGTGCAAAAATGTTTCCTGCCCACTCTTTACCTCTTTCAGTGCCTGCTCACAATTCCCACCACCTCTGGCTGTTCTTGACACGTTCTTCTGGCCAGAAGCCAATGGGAGCATGTAATGCGGAGCATTCTGAACACACCTCCTCTTTCAGGCTAGGAATGCCTAGCTTGTGCCTCAGTTATGCAGGCTCAGGA